AAAAAAGCTATAGCTTTGTAATACTATAAATATGCTACTGATCTATTTTTTTAATAATTTAGAATATTCAAATAAAATTTGATATAATAATATTTGAAAATATATATTACTTTTTTGTAGTATTTATTTTTAGATTATAAAAAAAATTTTAGATTATTTATAAATCAAAAATATACAATTTTAAAAATAATTTTTTAAAAAAATATATTTTAGTTTATCTATGACAAACCTTTTAAATATTAATTTTAGATCTATAGTTTCTAATACAACTTTATTGTTTAAATAATGAATTATAATTTTAATTATTATAAATCTTGTAATTTATTTATAAAAATTAATATTTGTCTTAAAAGTAAAAATTTTTTCTAACTTAGGAACATATAAAATTTTAGAAAAATTAAAAAAAATTTTACTAATAAACCTTAATATTATACAAATTTTGAACTTTAATTAATTGAAAATTTTTTAATAATTTTAAAAAATTTTCTTAACAAAGTTAATAAAATAAATCTTTAAAAATATTTTTTGCATAGACTCAGCACATTAAGTAGATTTTATACTAGCAATAAATATCTTAATTATAGAATATTTTACCCAAGAAGCATAATTATAATAAAGTCTCTTTACAAAATAATTATAACATAATTTATATTTTTTAAACATATCTTGATATTTTAATTTAAATTGTTTTATATTATAACTGTTTCTTATATTATAAAAATTTTTAACAAAATTCTTTGCTATATCATTACTTAATTTAGACCTGGTCTTTTTTTCACATTTTTATCAAGATGATAAATATATAATAAATAACAAGTTTGTAGATAAACTATTTGTATTGTGATAATAAATACTAGATCACTATCACTAAATAATATTTTAGATTAAAAATTATTAGATACCTCTAATATATACTGCAAAATCTAGATATAGTTAGCTTGTCTTATATTTAATTAAAGTCTATACAATAATTCTTATTTTAAAATTATTATTGATATTGACAAACAAACTAAAAGCTATCTTATATCAGTTAGTTTTTGCAATACTATTATAAATTACAATATTATGAAATTTTATTTATAAGTTATGTTGTTAACTAGATATTCAAAATAGACCTGTAAACTTATTAGATAGAATTTCTAACCTTGGTATAACAATATAATTAGGATTATTCTTACATTGTTTAAGTAAATATAGAAGCATAAATACTGTATCAGATTCATTATAAATTCATATACTTTAAAATTTATAAATAGTATTATATAAGTTTTTTTTATTAATATACTATTAAAAAAATTCTTTAACTAAGAGATTATATTGCTGACTAGTATCTAAGTGACTATTTGTAGTATAATATTCAATTCTATCTATAATAGATTATATAAAATATAAATTTTTTGGAACTAACTCTATGGTTGCTTGATTATATAGATGATTATATTTATTGTTAAATTTAATAAAATATATAAGTTCTAGATTTTATCTTAAATAAAAATTTGATTTCTATTTATAATTAGTTTTGTTTGAATTACTATTATGATATGAGCTAATGTTTTTAACTTTTTTGATTAATTAACTTTAAATTTTTAACAATTGTAAACATGTTGTTAAATAATTGATTTATTAGTTAGATTAAAGTTTTTATAATATTTATTAGCAATGAATCTATTTTGTTTTACAAACTGATTGATAATTATTTGAATATTATTCTAATTATTAAAAGAATCATTAATCTTCAATATAATTTATTAGCATTGAGCTCTAAATTTTAATTATCAATAATTATTATTTATATTCTGATTTTTAATATTATTTTCATTTACTTCTTAAGCTATATTCTTATATAATATAGTTTGAATAGCAACTTGTGAATTTGTAAATACTTTATATATATCAACATTTTTATAATTAGATATATCAACATCTTTATAACCAAATAAGTTAATATCTAAATGCTTATTAAATCTATTAAAAGTATTATTTATAGTTTTAGTATTATATTAATTGTTACTTTAAATAATAATATAAGTTAAGAAAATTTATTAGTTTACACGTAGTGTTTATACACGAGTACAATTTATTGAATTACAAATTTGTATAATATGCCATCAAAACAATTTTTACAAACATAAAATTAAACCCTTGCTTATAGTTAGAGTAAAGGTTGGTTTGGGATTATGCGAAATATAGCCTATACCGAAATTTTACAAGTAATTTTTTTTGTTGAAAGCAAAAAGTAGTTTCATAACCAAAATTTTGAGATATCTATATTGTCTGTGTATATACACCTATGTACAAATAGAAATTCTCATAAGTTAAATTAATATAAATAGAATATAATAAAAATTATTTGATTAATAAAGTATCTAAATCTAATCTTAACTAAAAGTATATTTTAAAAATAACTTACAAGAATAGTCACTTAGTTATAGCCCAAAATTTATATCAAGTTTACTGTTTTTATTTAAATATCAGTTCTATTTCTTTTAATAATAGACTACAATTTCTAATAGATTTACTATAAAATTCAAAATATATTAATTTCTAACCTCAACTAAAAGTATATTTAAAAAAAATATTTATAAAAATATTTATTTAGTTATAGTCTAAGATATATAGTAAGGTTTTACTATTCTTATTTGTATATTAGTTTTTTTTTTAATATAGATTATACTTTTGTTAGTAGATTTCAAGAGTGAAACCAGCTATTTATTTTTTTTTTATCACTAAATAAAATTACATACAGTACTATTAATAAATATTTTTTTATAATAGATCTGTTCAGATCAAGAACATTATACAAAAAATTTAGAGAATTATTAGAATAAAGTTATTTATGAATATAACATAGTGAGTAAAATTATACTTATTTTGAATTTATATAGTATATGAACTTTAATACTTTTTTTGCTTATTTTCTAAAATTAGAAATATGATATCTTAAAATATAAATGAGAAAAAAAGCATGTTATCCATATACTATCTGAAATAAAAAAAATAAAAATAAAAAATATAATTTTATTAAAAGCTCAGATGAATAGAAAATACTTATCAAAAATAGAGGCTTAGTTGATTTGTAATCTTATTTTGTAATTAATGAAGATTTTAAACATGCTAACAGAGTATGATTTTTTAAATTATTTTTTAGAGAATTCTAATGATAATAATGATTTTTGTAATAATAATGATCATAATAATCTTGGTGTTAATAATAATTATAATGATCTTAGTGATAATAATTATCATAATGATCTTGATAGTAATAATAATATTGTTGATAATAATAATTTTAGTAATAATAATGATATTGATAGTAATAATGATCTTGGTAATAATAATAATATTGTTAATAATAACAATTTTAGAAATAATAATAATTTTAATAATAATAATATTAATAGTAATACCTCAAATATTTATTTTATTATTATAGCGAATAAATCAACAGTATTATTATTAACAAATTTAATTAATAATTTTGAAAAAATTATAGATTCACAATTATTACTACTAGATGCATTAACAATAACAATAACACTACTATTAGATATAGCAACAATAATATCATTATCTCAAATATCAAGATATAAACTCTGCAAAAAAATATATATACAAGCTAATGATCTTAAAGTTAATAATAATCATAATGAGGGTGTGGCGACATAGTGCAGTTGGCAAGTTGTCATCCCCCAAATGGCAGGTCTAGGGTTCAAATCCCACTGGTGATGATTTTGAAAATTAAGATTTGTTTCGGTAACAATTA